CCAGGATGTTAAAGGACAGGCAGAAATGAACAGGAGTAGAAGGACTATATTGTGATCCTTAATAGATTTCCACATTCCCAGAAATAGCCTGAATAACACTCAAAACTTTCTGCCATAAGGAAGCCTCATTGTAAAGTTGTTTCCTCTTTCTGGAAAATTCTTTAAAAGAAGCAAAGAATTTTCTGCTACAGAGCAAACAAAGCGGTACCTAGCCACATGGAGGCACATGTTTTGGTCTTTACACTAACAGTTCTACTGAAGATGATTTTTTTCCTATTAAATGCCAATATTTCAAGAGCCATGTAGGTAAAATTGGTAAACAAAAGACTGGAAATTCCTGGCTCCTCTAACATGGCTTTTCTCATGACTTCCTGGGCCCCCAAAATGTAGTCTATTGTGAGAACAGGTAACACAGGGAATCCAGGAGACTGATAGATAAAATACTTCTGGGTGAGGTGGAGCAGGGGGGTCTTAAAAAAACAAAAGGGACAATGTCACGTGTTTGTGATGCTAGCAGCTGTAGTCATGGTGGGAGCAGTTGTGGTGGGAGCAGCAGTGGTCAAGGCAGCAGCATCAGAAGCTGAAATTAGGAGAAACATTCTAGTCAAGACATCTGACTCTTCCTCAAGCAACAAAATTTGTATCACCAAAGCTTGGACATGCAATTCTTATTTTGAATTCATCTCTGCAAATGTCACCAATTCTGTCATACCTTTACCCTGGCTACCCTCTCTCCTCTTGCCTCATTCATCCTAGCCCTGTTCTTGGTGGGGCACAAAGAGTTTAAAGTTTCCATCCAAGGGGAATGAGGCTGAGAAAAGAGACAGTCAAATACTGGCTCCAGGGACTGAGCACAAAAGACCAAATCCACATGTGTCTCTGTTCACAGGGACCACTGCTCAGAAGCAACAAGGAAAATAACTTCTAGACTGACAGTGTGGTGACTTCCTATGGAATAACTTAGAAGTGAATAGAAGTGAAGAAAGAATGAGACAATTCATCTCAGATTAGAGTAATAGTAGCTCTTTTCTTTGAATGCAGTAAAATCTCTTCCCATAGACTCCAACATGAAAGGAGGGCATATTTTTCTCACTTTCTGGAGGGACTCCATGTGCTATAGCAGTAATTGTGAGAGCCACTTAGATATAGCAGGAAATATTGGTATATTCTGGTAATAATAAAAATAAGCAAAGACTCTCTCATCCAACCCCATGTTCAAAGGGAACTTGCCTTTATTTCTCTCTCCCTACAGGGCTTCCCTGATAGCTCAGTTGGTAAAGAATCTGCCTGCAATGCAGAAGACACCGGTTCAATTCCTGGGTTGGGAAGATCTGCTGGAGAAGGGAAAAAGCTACCCTCTCTAGTATTCTGACCTGGAGAACTCCATGATAGTCCATGGAGTTGCAAAGACTCGGACAGGACTGAGCAGCTTTCACTTTCACTAGGGATTCTCAGCACAGTGGTAAAGAATCTGCCTCCAATGCAGGAGACCCAGGAGATGTGGCTTTGATCCCTGAGTTGGGAAGATCCCCTGGAGAAGGAAATGGCAACCCACTCTAGTGTTCTTGCCTGGGAAATCCCTTGGACAGAGGAGACTGGTGGCTACAGTCCATGGGGTCACAAAAGAGTCGGACACAGCTAAGCACACAGATATACAGAGCTGCTAACACACAGCGCGAGTCAGACCCCATAACTGTGAGCTAAAGCCACCTCAACACCATCTTCACACCCAGACTCTAGCCATACTGATGCAGGTCTCGTGCAGGAGAGAGAGATCTTCCAAATTGAACCCCACATGGCACATGTGGCACAGTGAGTGAGGGCAGACTAGAATCAATGCCCTTATGCCCAGAGGACACAAGTCCCCAAGCTGTGGAGGCTGAAAAGAGAGATCATCAGAATGCTTGCATGAACACAACACATAGAATGGGCAGGGTGCTATGGGAAAACCCCAAGAATGATCAGGAGTTTGCTCTACAACCTTGGGTTTCACATTAAAGAAAGAAACCTCAGCCTGGAAAGTAGGCTTTGATCCCATTACAAAGAGCAGAGCTTAGAGCCTTTCTGCTACTTGACCCCTATATTCTGCATCCTGTATCCTGCCCTCCATGTGGTCCTAATGCCATCATTTCTGTTCCACTTTCGTGAAGTACATTCTCCTGCTTCATTCTGGGACAAACTGGCCTCTCTGACTCACTGGTCAAATAATCAGCTCTTCAATTTAGTGTCATCAGAAAGACTTTACATAAACTTGCCCAAAATTCTCAGGCCACAAGCTCAGATCACATTCTCCTGGCCTTTCTGATAGAAAAAATAAATGACTGATCCAAAATTAATATAAACTCATGCCAGTGACTTCATATTATTGAATAACATGTAAGAAATATGCAGATTTTCTATGTTCATCATGAATTTTTGAATCAGGAAGAAGGTTTTCCCAGGCTTGTGCTTAGGATTCTTTATAACCTGTCCCCCATGGAAGCTCTGACAGGAGGTTGAGATGGAAAATGGTCATTGCAGGAAGGAGATGAAGTGCAAGTACAGACTCATCAGGAGAAGTATCAGTAGGAACTTCTGTTGTATCCTCTGAAAGAGAAAAATGAAAAATAGGATGTTAGTTGAACACCAGTTTTGGGTGTGGAAAGAAGAACATAGGCAGTGGTGCAGGCTTCCACAGATGAATAACAACTAGTCCTTGGTGCACATGCTGAAGGCAGAAACATCCACGGATAACATAAAATCCTACAAAAACATAGCATGTGGTCACTTTTGCTTTCCTGAAACAAACCTCTGATTTATGTTCTTAAACAGATTTTATAGCCTCTGACCATGAAACTGGGCTCAAAGGTCAGAAGTGACTAAACATCTGACTGAATTTGAAAAACCCAAAATGTAAAGTCAACTCTATTGTGATGGAACAGGCGGTTGGAGTAGAGGACGGGGGCAGCATTCTAGGCCCTCCCAAAACCATGGCTACACAGAATTCATATCTTGATGTACTGTTCCTCCAGACCTCACTTCCAGATAATAATCTTTATTTATGGCCAGAAACCAGGATGGTGGAAACTGCCATCAGTGGAAATAGTGCAAACATCTTCATGATGGTCAATTGCAGAACAAGGTGTACATAAAGGAAATTTTCAGAGCCCGGAGGAAGGCAAGACTCTGACTCCACAACTCCACATCCTGACATTATACAGGCAGAGGACACCAATCTTGAGCTGCCAGACCAGAATCCGGGTTAGTAATTGCCAACTAACCTGGCACTAATGGCGGCATTAATGCCAGCAATGTTAGTTCTCAGAGAAACCACTGGAGAATCAACAGCACAGCCAGAGACTTCTGTAAACCATAATGTCAATCCTTTCATCTGACTCAGGCTTTAATTTAAGAGTTTGCCATATTAAAGATTTTACAGCCATCAATTTCTCCTCTAGGCTTCCTTTTACCTTGTACATCCACAGACACCATGATTACCAGCCCCACAGCCAGCCTTCCTGATTTATTCACATCAGCAGTGCTCCTCTGAGACTCTGAAAGCTTACTCAGCCCTAAGTCACCTCAAAGGGAAGTAAGCAGAGTAGAGCAGCCTGATTGAAGAAGCATCCTCTGTTGTTGTGCATTCTTCAAGCTATGGCCTCCATCCTGCACATATAGATAAGATCAGGTGACAGTCACACAGAAAGTGCCAAACACTGGTATGGTCTCTCTAGATTTAAATGTGTCTTGTAAAAAAATTAATGTGTCTTGTGAAAATTTTTCCAAGTCAAAGAGAATGAAAATAGATAGTTAAACTAACATTTGTTAATGAATCCATTTATCAGTTCATTCATTCTAAACGTACGTTGAGATTTATACATTAGAGAAACAGCAATGACGAAAGCACACAAAAATTCCATGCCATACAACCTATTGTGGAAATTCATACATAAAAAGTAAACAGCAAAGAAGGAAGGAAAGAAGGAAAGCAGAGAGAGGAAACAAATATGTTGTATGTAAGGTATAATGAATAATGTAATGAGTAATGAATAATAATACAGGAAAGAAGAAAGAAAAGAGTTGGAAATGGAAAGTAAGTGTACAGTTTTAGATAAAGTAGTCCAAAAAGGACAATTAAATCCATAATCTCAAATTAAAACTAAATCCAATGAACAATTCAAGTCTATAATTATCCCCATAACTTTTTACTACTGCTTTTTTTGCATTACTCGATTATTTAAAACTTTTTTATTATGAAAAACTGAAAGTGTATGTGAGAAAGTAAGATTCACCAGACCATCTAACATAATAACTGAAATCACTATTAAATACTCTCTTTGCTAAACACTTTTCCACACATATGAACTCTTTCTCCTCCATGCCACATTATCACTATTAGCACTACCAAGGAGCAACTGTTAAGTGAATTGCTCCATGTTCCCTTTATCATAGACAAATGTGTATATATGCAAATGTAGTTGATATATAGGTTTCTTACAAAATGGTATACCAAACAGCATTACATTTTGGACTATCTGTCCTCATTGTGCACATAACAATACTTCTTTAAAATCAAAGTCAACCACTGTAGATCTGAATCATTCCTTTTAGTGGCTTCTTTAAGTCCTAATTGGGAGGAGCCAAGATGGCGGAGGAATAGGACGGGGAGACCACTTTCTCCCCTACAAATTCATCGAAAGAACATTTGAACGCTGAGCAAATTTCACAAAACAACTTCTGATCGCTAGCGGAGGACATCAGGCGCCCAGAAAAGCAGCCCATTGTCTTCGAAGGGAGGTAGGACAAAATATAAAAGATAAAAAGGGGGTCAAAAGAGCTACAGACGGAGACCCGTCCCGGGAAGGGAGTCTTAATAGAGGAAGTTTCCAATCACCAGGAAACCCTCGCACTGGCGGGACAGGGGGAAGTTTTCGGCAATCTAACTGGGAGGAAAAATTAAACAAGGCCCACAGATTACGTGCCTAAAAGCAACTCCCAGCAGAAAAGTTGAGCACATTTTTCCAACCATTTTGCCAGCAGTGAATTTTCCTACTTTAATTTTCCGAATCTGATCATGTCAGAAGCAGTATTTGGTATGGTCATTTGCATATCCTGGATTACAGTAAATATGAGCATATTGTATATATTTATTATCAGCTGAATTTCCTCTTCTGTGATTTACCTATTCAAATATTTAAATTCAAGTAGTCCTATCATTTTTGCATAATTTCTATATTAAACAAGTTTTCAAATATGTAGTTGGGACATCTTAAATTTGTGATACTTTAATATTAATTCATGTAAGGGTCACATCTCTTTCTAATCTCTGAATTTAACCAATGACACAAACCTGGCCCCAGTCACAGTGCACACTCTCTTTTGGAGCATTTATCAAGGGAGTCAGACCCTGAGAGGAAACCAGGAAAGAAGCCTCAGCTTGACAAGAGGTCTCAGAATGGAATGTCACAGACATAGTCTCAATTCAGATATCTACCACTTGCCATACACCACACAGAAATTGGAAGATTATGCAGCACTCAAGGACAGGGATGGGCATGGACACCTGGCTAAATTTCCAATAAGCCAGCATTAAGAAGACACATAAACAAGGGGATCATATACAGAGTTTATAACAGAGAAGAGGTGAAAAGAAGTCCAGAGTAATGTAAAGCCTGGTTAGGTTTGTGTTAGGATCACAGATCAGCTCTCATCCTATTATTCCATCAGAGGAGATGAGGAACACACAGGGCTGCACAGTGACTGTCCAGCATTAGAAATCTGAATGCATGCACCAGACACAGCACTTTCCTACTAGTTACCAATAACTTAAGTATCATCTCTCCATGGACGTCTCCAATGGCTTCCAAATTAAAGTAACCCTCAACTTGTGAGCAGATAACTTGATTCAGTTTTCATCACAATATCACTCCCTGATATTTTCTTGTCTCATTGTTTCTTTGCCCTTTGTTTCCCTGGTTTTCTGTGTCCCTTCAAATAAATAAGCTCTAAGAGAAAAAAAGCTTACTTAGTTGCATTCTATTTCACAAGACCTAGAAGAAGGCCAAGTATTTGGGAGACTATAAATGTGAGTTGATTAGGAGGAGGAATGAATGATTGAATAAATATAATACAAATATTAAGCATTCCACAAAGGGGAGGAGTTTGAGAGAGGGAAGATACTGTGAAAAGTAAGGATGCAGCAGCATGTGAATGAAATCTTGAAAAGCTGAACCACAGGCTATGATTGTGAGCTATGATGTAAAATAGATACAGAAGAACTAGAAAGACAGGAATCCCATGAACAGAATTAACTATGAAAGAATTCCAGTGGTGTTTAGGAAAAAAGTTTCTTTATTATCTCCAAATTCCAAAATCATGTAAACCTGAATAAAAAGAGGGACACACACAAAAAAACAGCATGCACCTGCAGATGAAGATAGGCGTACCCCACACCAATGAGCCGTAGTCATCACTCAGCTGTATCTGATAAAACTCACAATACTTCCTGTACTGAAAATTAAGGAAGTTCCTTCCAAAGCTTCCCTGTGTGCTGGTTCGTTATGTTGCTATCAGAAAAGATCTCCCCAAAGTACAAATTTTCTCCACCATTGAAATTTCCTATTTATGGGGAAAAGCTTCTAATTCTTTCCCTAATTCTCTTTCTTTTCTCATGACTGCTCCATGCTGGAAAACCCAGAAATACCCTTTCATGAAGGTAAGCAATCAGAAGTGTGTTTTTCCATTGTTATCACTTTTACCTTTTTTCTCTTTCTTTCTGGGAATACTCCACTGTTTCTTCTTCCTTTATTGTCTTTGGTATTCTTATTTTTCTGGACATCTTTTCCAAAATTTCTCCCTATTTCTTTTTGCAAGTCTCTCTGTCTCTTTGCATGTCTTTGTCATACTAAGTTTATCTATAGCTGTCATCATCCTTCGCCCTCATCCACAAATTGCATTTATTATATTTACATAAGTCTTACAGGCTGTGCAACATTCTCAGCCTTCCCAAACTCCTTTCCTACAAATCTGAAAATAATTACACACCAAAACAGTCCTCGTTGACACCTTGGGAAATACCCTTCAGAAAATGTGTCAGGTTTACCCTGGAATATTTAGATGACTTTTTAAGACTTTTTCCTTGTCCTCAGCCCCCTCAACCCTCACACTTACTCTCTCAATCACTGAGTGTCGCATTACACTCCAGGACATCTGAAGACACTTCTATTAGAAGTGTGTCGCTCCTGACACCTGAGGGCAGTATTGTTCTGAATATGGTGCTAGGTGCTTGTGCTCAGTTGTGTCCGACTCTTTACAACCCCAGGGACTGTAGTCGCCAGGCTCCTCCCGCCATGGGATTTCCCAGGCAAGAACACTGGAGTTGGTTACCATTTCTTTCTCCAGAATATGGTGCTAAGCAGAAGCTTACAATACCTGCGTTTCTCCTCCTTCCTGCTCACCACCCTCTCCACGAAAGCTTGCCTTAGTCTTTTACCATGATGCTTGAGGGATGTTTACTTTGCATACTGTTAAGGATTTATAAAAAAAAACCTGAACAAGTACTTGTATATTGTAGTAAATTTTATTTGGAATTACTCTTGAATTATTCAGCACTATAATAGATGGGGAAACAGTGGAAGCAGTGTCAGACTTTATTTTTTTGGGCTCCAAAATCACTGCAGATGGTGATTGAAGCCATGAAACTCAAAGATGCTTACTCCTTGGAAGGAAAGTTATGACCAATCTAGACAGCATATTAAAAAGCAGAGACATCGCTTTGTCAACAAAGGTCCATCTAGACAAGGCTATGGTTTTTCCAGTGGTCATGTATGGATGTGAGAGTTGGACTGTGAAGAAAGCTGAGTGCTGAGGAATTGATGCTTTTGAACTGTGGTGCTGGAGAAGACTCTTGAGAGTCCCATGGACTGCAGGGATATCCAACCAGTCCATCCTAAAGGAGATCAGTCCTGGGTGTTCATCGGAAGGACTGATGCTGAAGCTGAAATTCCAATACTTTGGCCACCTCATGCAAAGAGTTGACTCATTGGAAAAGACCCTGATGCTGGGAGGGATTGGGAGCAGGAGGAGAAGGGGACAACAGAGGATGAGATGGTTGGATGGCATTCACTGACTCAATGGACATGAGTTTGAGCAAACTTCGGGAGCTGGTGATGGACAGGGAGGCCTGGTGTGCTGCAGTCAATGAGTTGCAAAGAGTTGGAGACAACTGAGTGACAACTGAACTTAACTGATGTTACTTTCAGATGTAGCACATAGTGAATTCAAATTTTTATAAGTTACACTCCATTTGTAGTTATAAAACATTGGCCTTATTCCCCATGATGTACACAATATATCTTTTAGTTTAACTATTTTTTAATTAGTAGTTTAAACCTCCTAATTCCCTGTTCCAGTATTGCCCCACCTCACTTCCATCTCTGAACTCTTAACCTATGATTTGTTCTCTTTATGTGGGAGTCTGATTCCTTTTTGTAAAATGACTAATTTTTTCATTTTTAGGTTGCACATGAAAGTGATAACACAGTATTTGGCTTTCTCTGTCTTGCTGATTTCACTAAACATAATGCCCTCCAGATCCATTTATAAATGAAACCCAAATTGAAAAGGAGAAAGTAAAACTATCATTGTTTGCAGGTGACATGATATTCTTAAAGACACCACTGGAAAAATACGAGACTGCATCAATCAATTCAGTATAGTTGCAGAATAGAATATTCATATACAGAAATCTCTGTGTTTTCATATACTAACAATGAACTGTAAGAAAGAGGAATTAAGGAAACAATCTCATTTAAAATTGTCTCAAAAAGAATAAAATACTATGAATAAGCCTACCTAAGGAGTTAAACAACATGGACTTGGAAAAAGCATAAAACACTGATGAAAGAATTGAAAATGACAAAAATGTGTGGGAAGACATAGCACGATCATGGATTGGAAAAATTAATATTGTTAAAATGACCATACTACCCAGGGCAGCCTATAGATTCAATGTGATCCCTATCAAAATACAAATGGTGTTTTTCTCAGAAATAGAACAAATATTTTTAAAATTTGGATAGAAATTGCAAAGAGCCCAAATAGCCAAAAGAATCTTGAGAAGTTAGAGTAGAGCTGAAGTTATGTTCCTTGACTTCAGACTATATTAAATAGCTACAGTTATGGTATGATACTGATAGAAGAACAGACACAGAGACCAATACAATAGAACAGATTGCCCAGAAATCAATTCATACACTTGTGACCAATGTTTATTTGTCAAAGGAGGCAAGAATACACAACAGGGAGAAGACAATCTCTTCTATAACTGGTTCTGGGGGAACTGGCCAGTTGGATGGAGAAGAATGAAATTAGAACATTTCCCCACAACCTATAAAATGGCAAACTCAAGGGAGTCCCCTGGCGGTCCAGTGGTTAAGACTTTGTACTCCATGGTTCAATCTATGATAGGAAAATTAAGATACCACATGTCACTTGGCATGGCCAGTACATAAATAAATAAAAGGTAAACTCAAAATTAATTAAAGACCTAGAGGTAAGGCCAGAAAACACAAAACTCCTAGAAGAAAACAAGCAGAACACTCATTGACATAAACTGTAGCAATACTTTTTTTGGATCCCTCTCCTAAGGCAAAGGAAATAAAAACAAACAAATTGGGCCTATATAAACTTAAAAGCTTTTGCAGAGTGAATTAAACCACTGAAGGAATGCAAAACAACCAAAAAATGATAGAAAATATTTGCAAATGAAATGCCCAATAAGAGTTTAACATCCCAAGTGTGTAAGAAGCTCACACACCTGAATATCAAAGAAACAACCAAATTGCAAAATGAATAGAAGACATAAATAGACATTTTTCCAAAAAAACAATACAGATGCCCGATAGGCACATGAAAGGATTCTTAAGTCTGTAACCATCCCAGAAATGAGAATCAAAACCACAATGAGCCATCTTTTAGGATGGCTATTATCGCAATGACAATACATAACAAGTGTTGGAGAGAGATGTGGGGAAAAGGGAACTCTTGTGCACAGTCGGTGGGAACATAAATTAGTATAGTTATCTGGGGAACAGTATGAAGTTTCCTCAGAAAAATTAGATATAGAACTACTATATGATCCAGCAATTCCTCTCATGATATTTGTCTGAAGAAAACTAAAACACTAGCTCAGAGAGCTGTAAGCACACTGCTGTTTATAGTAGCATTATTTACAACAGCCGACATATGGAAGCAACCTAAGTGTTCATCAACAGATAAATGTATGAAGAAGATATTACATGTATTATATATAATGGAATATGACAAAGTCTTAGAAAAAGAATGAAATTTCGTAATGTGCAACAACATAGATGGTTCTGGAGGGTATTATGCCTAGTGAAGTAAGAAAGACAAATAATGAATGTTATCATTGATACATGGAAACAAAAAAGTGAAAGAAGTAGTGATTATACAAAAAAGAATCAGACTTACAGATATAGAGAACCAACTATTGATTACCAGCTGGGGAACAGAAGTGGGGAGGGGCAATATAGAAGTGAGGCATTGAGAGCTATAATCTAATGAGCATAAAATAAGGATAACCATATATTGTATTGCATGGGGAACATAGCCGATATTTTATAACTATAAATTGAGCAAAATAATGTATAGAATTTTTGAATTACTATGTTGCATACCTGAAAGTAACATAACATTGCAAATCATATATACTGCAATATTTTTTTCAAAAACTGATGATTTTAAAGTTTCATAATGCATTACTCTCAACCCAGAAATCTATCTGTTCCTCTCTTCAAATCTGTAACCAGTTTTTCTGACAGCAGTGCTGAATAATTTAACAGTAATTCCAGATAAAAATTACCAGAATGTCCAAAAACTTGATCAGGTTTTTTAGTTAATACTTGATTGTGTGCAAAGTAAATTCCAGCAAGTATGATGATGGAAGACTAAGCTATGTTTTGGGATAAAGGGAGCTGAGAATTCCATGAACTGTACAGTCCATGGGGTTGCAGAGAGTAGGACACGACTGAGTGACTTTCACTCTCACTTTTCACTTTCAAAGGGAGCTGAGCCAGAAGGAGGAAGACTGAAGGTATTCCAAGGCCTGTTTGGTACCACATTCAGAACCATACTGCCCTCAGGTGTCAGGAAGGACACTCTTGTAGTGGAAGTGTTTTCAGATGTCCAGGAGGGTAATGTGATGGTCAAAGACTGAAAGAGGAAGTGTGAGGATTGAGGGGACTGAGGACGAAGAAAATGGGTGCTTACATAAGTATTCCAGCGTAAGCCACACACAGTATTCAGAAGGATGTTTCCCCAAGGTGTCAGGGAGGACAGTCTCAGTGTGTATTTATTTTCATATGATCAGTACGGGTGTTTGGGAAGCTGGAGAACACTGCACAACCTGTAAAATTTACCTAAATAAATAAAATAAAGGCACTTCGTTAGTAAAGTTTGGATGAAGGTAAAGGATGATGGGAGCTATAGACAAACTGTGTGACAAAGACTTCCAGAGAGATAGAGAGACTTGGAGAAAGACCTTCTGGAAAAGATACTCAGAAAAAGAATTCCAAAAGATAATAAATGAAGAAGAAACAGTGGCATATACCTAGAGAAATGGAGAAAAATAAAATAAAGTGGTAACACAAGATTCTGGAAAAGATACTCAGAAAAAGAATATACAAGATAATAAAT